CCACGCTTTATGTGGAAGTGTCGTGTCAGCACTATCTGGCCGGTGTTCGGGTCGACGTACTTGTCCTTCCCTGCATCATGTGCCTTTTGGTGCATCTCCTCGACTTCGCGCGGGAGGCTTCTCTCCAACTCGTTTTTCTCCTCAACCACCACATTTTCTGGGGAACGAATAGCTGCCAGCCTCCGCAGACGCTCCTGAAGGATCGTGGAGGTAAAACGACGAGACTCGACGAAAGCACGTCCGTATTGGGAGGAGGGCTGGAGGACACAAAAACATCGACGGGCAGACATAACATGTGCGGCCCCCTTTCCAGGTCACACACACAAAAAAAGGAGCAGAACACAAAGAGACGGGGAATAAAAGGACACACACACACAAAAAAAAAAAAAAAAAAAAAAAAAAAAGCAACGCAATAATAATAATAATAATAATAATAATAATAATAATAATAAACGAACAATAAAATAAACTCGACCCATGAAACCTGGAAAAAACAAAAACAAAAAAAAAAAAGCGCCAAAGAACATCGGCAAACGACTCCCAAGCAAGTCAGGGATGGCGTCAAAATCTTTTGTAGTTCGCGAGAAAAAGACGTTTTCCTGTGAATACGCCCCGGTATGTTCATCAATTTTTATTCTCCTTGACATATGGACAAAGTTTTCCTAAATAAATACAAAACACATTGCCATTTCCCCAACTCCCAGAAATAACCATTTTTTTTTTTTTTTTTTTGTAAGAAAGAGAGAGTGAGAGAGAGAGAAGGTGTATAATTTTTTAAACCTTTTTTGCCAACAAGAGCGAGACATCGGACCTTCACTATCAACACCTCTCCCATTACAGAGAAGCTTTTAAGAAGCATAAGACAAAAAAAAAAAAAAAAAGAAAAAGAAAGAAGGAAAAGAAAACGTCTAGTTAAGAAAAAAAAATAGTAAAAAAACAAACAAACGAACAAACCAACCATGGACCTAATAATATAATAAGAGAAGAAAAGCATTAGTAGCCCATACACACACACAAAAGAAAAGGAGTTATCGAACACGCACACAAACAAAAAAAATGTGTTCTTTCTCCCTCCCTCCCTCTCTCTCTCTATATATATATATATATATTGTTATTCCTTCCCTGTTAAATGGTCTCCGCATTTTAGTGTTTTCTCCTTCAAATCCCTTGCATGATACCTTGTAACCGGACTGAAGTTTTCTCTTTGCTTTTTTATACATTTGTGTGTATTGCTGTGCTCGTTAGCCCCCCCATTTTTCTTCTTTTCCTTTTAATTCCATATCTTTTCTCTGCTTTTGCCCTCCTCGTGATAATGCGACAACAGAACGAGTGTACCGCTGTTGCCACATCCGGACGCCTACGTCAAATTTCAATTACGCTTCAATTTGGCGACACGCAGGTGAGGAATCAGGCTCTCGGCACCCAAAGAATGCTTGTATATTCCTCCTTGGAATGCCTCCGTAGCGTCCTTGCCCACATAAATATCCAACATCTTCTTCCCTCCCGGGTGTGCTTCATACCAAACAATTTTTTCATTGGAGTGCGTGTAGCCGGAGCCCGTTGGAACGGACTTCTCCAGATCAATAACGTTGTCCCCAATCACGATCAGTTTTTGGCCCTGCTGCACATATTTTGCAACATCCTCCCACGTATATTCCACAGTTGTGGGGAGCTCAAGCTCCCCTAATCGCTTCTCGAGAAGTTCCATCTGTCTGCGAACCCCCTTGTATTGGAGATTCTTCACGTTCCTTTCAATCACCTCGTTGGGTGTGCGCATGAGATGCGAGGCCATCCTCAGCCATTCACACAGGCGGATGGTCCACTTGGTCGGATCAAAATGATACCATTTGATGCCGTTA